ATTACCAACTGTACACTGGGTTTAGTTGGAATGGTTATGCTTTGTCCTCGGTATCCAAGCTAGATTAACTTTTTTTTGTTGTTACAATTTAGTGTACTTCCACCAATCTTTATCATAAACACCCAATAACAACTTTATATAAATTAATTAAATTATTTAAAACTAGTTAATTTTGGTAAATATTAAGATGACCTCCAATAAAGACCATTAATCAGAGAGGAGTTTGGTTAATTAGTAATTAGGAATATTAGGCGAGCAAAATTAATTCTTTAAACCAAACAACTAGATCAGAACCTACCCCATAATTAGGCCTCACATTTAGGACAAGAAAAGTAGAATGGCTTGCCCTATGATTGAAATATTTATTTAATAATGTAATATGCTGCTGGCCCTGAATTGAAATCAAACACTACTTTACATAGTTCCTTACGTATCATGTGTTTTATTCTCTCAATCTTGTCGCCACTTTGGACGATTCTTCAGTTTTATTTCTTCTCATAAATCCCACCCTTACCCATATCATCTCCTTCATTCCTCTTACAGATCCTCCTAATTTCTTAATTAATAACCACTTCATCATCAACATTCTGCCTCTGCAATGCCTTCAAACACATCACTTCGCCATGTCACTTCTGAAACAAACCTCTCCCCCAAATCTCACCTGACCTCACCCGCATCACCACGTGACACCACTACTGTACCTTCTTCCTCAAAGCTTCCTTCGTCTTCAAACACTGTCACAAACATTAAACTCAGAAGAAAAGGCCCTGATCTTCGAGCGTATGATCATCACCATCAGATAATAACCCAACATGAGCAGCCTTCGCTGTCTTCGGTCAGTCCGTATTACAAGGGTCTCCTTTACCAACCTCTCCCTAAGCAGAACCATCTGAACAGTGGCCATAATAATAATAATAGCAATTCTAGGGTTCCGATTTCTGAAGCCAGTCCATACTACAAAGGGCTTACAGATTTTTCACTGGCTATTCATGGAGGACAACATCTAGAATCGCAAGAAGATTATGGTTTCGGAATTCCTGAGGTTGAAGGAGCATACGAGTGTAGTCCATATTTTAGAGGCCTACTCAATGATAGCTCTCTAGCAAAAGCAATTCGTAAACTTGACGAAGGCGGTGGTGGTGGTGGACGAGGAGGATCCCGTGGGCAAGGTGGTGTTATGCCAATAAGCTTCTCGTCCTTAGGATTGAACATGAATCTATGCTTAGGTGGTAATAAGGATGAGATTTTAAACAACACTACAGCCCAGACCCAGGCGGACTTAGGAAGACAGCGTACTTTATCGCCGTTATCGCCTCCGGCACCGATACCGTTACCGTCGCCATCATTACCACTCCCACCACCGCCACTGTCTATGTTTCCTTCCAAAGGTGATTTTGATTCAGAGTTTTATATGAGAAAAAAATGTTTTAGATCAGGATAAATAATATATTGAGGAAAATAGCTTGGAATATATATATACATATGTATTACAATAAATTTTGGCAGAATATTCATTAAAAAAATGAGATATTCAGTTTAATTTTTCAAAATAACAATGGTTGACTCAAAAAACACCATTTTAAATCAATCGTATTAGGGATAGAAGATTTAAAATATACTTTATAAAATTAAAGACCAAACTGAAATATTGTATAAAGTTAAATAGCTAAAAGCTCATTTTTACACATAGTTAAAGGATTATATATAAAGGTGATTTTGATTCAGAGTTTTATATGAGAAAAAATGTTTTAGATCAGGATAAATAATATATTGAGGAAAATAGCTTGGAATATATATATATATATATATATGTATTACAATAAATTTTGGCAGAATATTCATTAAAAAAATGAGATATTCAGTTTAATTTTTCAAAATAACCATGGTTGACTCAAAAAACACCATTTTAAATCAATCGTATTAGGGATAGAAGATTTAAAATATACTTTATAAAATTAAAGACCAAACTGAAATATTGTATAAAGTTAAATAGCTAAAAGCTCATTTTTACACATAGTTAAAGGATTATATATAAAGTTGAATAATCAACGCCAAGATAAAATATAGAATCATATTTTAAAATAAACTGTGTTCTTTCGTTTTCTGTTGCAATATGTGAATTTCATGTCTCCATGTGTGTGTGTGTGGACACAGTAATTAATGAGCTAACAATAACCAAAAGATAAGACAGCTTTAAGCATATGGAGCTGAAAGTAGAAGATGGGAAGCGTTTTGGGGGAGAGAATCAGAAGAAACTGAAGATCAGGTAAGAGCTGTGGAAATTGAGAATAATAAGGAGGAGGCCATTAATGAATCTGGTTTGTCAAATGAAGAGTTGAAGGCTTCATCTTCAAACACTGAAGGCTAAACTCTGGAAAAAAAGACGCTGATCTTTAAGCATATGATCAAGAGATAAAGTTGTCGTTGGTCATCAGTCCCTATCATAAGGGTCTCCTTCACCCACCTCTCGCTATCAATGACGAATATGGTTCGAAGAATCATCACCAGAACAATCTGAACATTGGCCGTAATAATAGTAATTTTAGGGTTCCGATTTCTGAACATAATTAGTTCATACTACAATGGGCTTGAAAGTTTTTTCACCAGATATTCATGGAGGAATAACTCTAGGATAGTATGACTATATATGATTGGAGAATTAATGTTAGGTTGAAGGAGGGTACGAGTGTGTCCATGTTTCAGAGGCCTCCTCATTGATATAGCTCTCTTGTAATGGCATCTGGTGGCTTAGTTATAATAAAGATTAGTTCTTTAGAAAGTGTCTTATAATAAAAATCATAATGATACATGAGATACTCAAAATGGCCACTTGAACACTAGGTTTTGACTCTAAATTCGTGTGAATAAAGCAAACTAGTGTTGTAGGTTTTATTTTCTTTACTTGCTTGTTGTTTGTAACCTTTTGTTTTTTTTTTGGGAAAACCATATTGGAGGTACTTATAATTTTTTTCAATTTTCAATTTGGTACCTATGTGTTTTTTGTTCTTAACTAAATCTTTATTTTTCCTCTATTAACATCATTAATCCCTATGTAGAGACTAAAAATATCAATAGAACAAAGTTATAAGAGCTAATGTTGCTAAAAAGATAAAATTAAATGTTTAATTAAAGGGAAAAAAAACACATAGGTACCAAATTCAAAATTGAGAGAAAGTATAGGTACCTTCAATATGGTTTTCCCTTTTTTTTTTACAGTATAATTGCTCTATTTATAAAAATATACACGTCTCTAACTTTGATCGGGCAAATAAATATTTTGTTATTTTGATTTATTAGTATTTTTGGTAATTTATTACTCCATACGGAGAGACAATAGAGAGGTTTGCTTTCATTATAAATATAACAATTTAATCCACTTTTCCCCTCAAAATTCCCTTATTGATTTATAATTTGATCGATAAGTAGTTCAAAATCGAATTTATGTCACTTTTTTGCCACTTTAGTTAGGCAAATAATACCAACTAAATTAATTAACTATTATTTTGAAGTGGGGAAAACCATTTTTCTTCAAATGACAATGATAATATAATATTTAGCATCGGTTTTGAGTAGTTTTTTTTTTTTGTAGATCCTTCAATATAACTTTACAGCGTACGATGCTTCAATATAACGTTGCAAATACCATCAACTTTATGTTCTCAACAGTATGGTACGTAGTTTGTTTCATGTTAATTAACAAAAATAATTTTTTCATTGTTGCTTATATTTTTTGACTTCAAAATTTAAGATTATTTTATTTTTATTCTTATTAGATATCTTTAGTTCTAGTAAATATCAAACGAAAAAACATATGATACCAAAGATATTGTCTCTTTTCATATATTATATCAATTATAAATCAAGATATTTCATTCTATTGTTGTGTGTGTATTCTCATTGATACTCCCTTAATAGTCTTTAATTACACCCTACAAAATATGTAACCTTGGACAGTGACATAATCTAAATTATCCAATGAAATTCCCATTAAAATATATAGTCATCTATTTGTCCTTTCATTATGTTTAAAGATGAAGTATTTCTGTTTTATATATTATGATAAATTTGTAATTATTGTCCAAAATTAAATATCTTAACTCGGGTTGAAATGAGTGGCAAGGGCTTTAATATCCCTCAAGTAAGTGATTGTGGATTCGATTATCAATTCGTTGTGCAAGGAGTAAGTTTAGTTAGAAGGGGTATGTTCTTTGCAGAATTTTTTTTTTTTGAGAAAATTGCTATGAAATTTTATGGAAGCTATAGTAATTTTTCCTTTTTTTTTCCCTCCTTATTGGAGTGGAGGATACTTCTGTTTCCATAAGAAAAAAGAATAGAAAATAGTTTTTTTTGTTACAACTATTTATATTCAGTATTATATCGACTATTCTAGATTATTCAAGAATGATAAAGAGAATTGAGTTTTTTTTTGCCATACGTGATACGACCTGTTGAAACATTAGGCCCTACCAGAAACCCACACACACTACGCATAGAAACGAGCTATTTCCATTAATCTCATAACCTGATATTTACATCAAAAGTGGGCTTAATAGAATAAGCCAACACTGGACCCCTTTTATAGAGCCCAGCAGAAATAACAAACAATACAAGAAAGTTAAGAAGAACCATCTAAAGCAATTTGGGCTTAAACTAATTAACCCAAAAATACAAAAATGACCCTCCTATTTCTCACACGACCAAACAAAAATCAATAATAATATATAGAAATTAATAGTTCTGAAAATGATTGAATTGTTTATTTAATCAGGTAATATGCTGCTGGCCTGAAGTCAGACACTGTTTTACATAGTTCTTAACGTAACATGTCTTTTATTCTCTAAATCCTATCGCCTTGTTTGGATTCTTCAATTTTATTACTTGTCATAAATCCCACTCTAACGCATCTCCTTCTTTCCTCACAGATCCTCCTAATTTCTTGACCACTTCGTCGTCATCAACATTCTCCCTCTGCAAAATGTCTTCAAACGCATCGTTTGGCCATGTCTGAAACCGACCTCTCTCCCATATCTCACGTGATCTCACGTGTCACCACACCTTCTTCCCCGAAGGTTCCATCTTCAAACAATGTCACGAAGGTTAAACTCAGAAGAAAAACCAATGATCTTGATGGAGCATATGATCACGAGATATCGTCTTCGGCCAGTCCTTATTACAAGGGCCTCCTTTATCAACCTATCGTTATCGACGACGAATATATTTCGCCGAATCATCATCATCATCAGAACCATGATCTGAACAGTGGCCATAGTAATTCTGGGGTTCCGGCGACTTCTGGATCTAGTCCATACTACAAAGGGCTTACAGATTTTTCACTGGTTATTCATGGAGGACGGCACCTACAATCGCATGATGATTATGGCTATGGAATTCATGAGGTTGAAGCAGCGTACGAGTGTAATCCTTATTTCAGAGGCCTCCTCACTGATAGCTCTCTGGCTATGGCGATTCGTAAACCTGACGGAGGAGGAGGAGGAGCATCGTGTGGGCATGGTGGTGTTATGCTACCTTTTGGGTTCAGCATGAATTTATGCTTAGGCGGTAAGGATGATATTTTGAACGACATCACAGCTCAGATGGAGTCGGAAAGGCAGCGTACTTTATCGTCGTTATCGCCACCGGCGCCCATACCGTTAACGCAGCCTTCGTTACCACTATCAGCACCGCCCCCGTCTGTGATTCCATCCAAAGGTAATTTCTTTTCTTACCAGCATCCAAAGGTAATTTTGAATAGGGAAATCAAAGTTTTACATGAGAAAAATTGTTTTACATGAACAAAAATATTGAGAAAAATAAGGGTGAAAATATGTTTTGGATAAAGAAAGAGATTGAGAAAAAGAAGGGGAAATTATATGTTGTACACGCGCGGTTTTAAATGAACGAAAACCAATAAAATAATAATTTTTACCGTTAAAAATTTTTTTTAAAGTGAGAATTTTTATTTACCAGCTGCCAACTTTCCACAGCATACAATAACCCTCTTATAACTTTTTTTTCTCTCTGTTCTTTTTTTGGTCGTACGAACTTTGATAGTACATGAAAGTATTGGAAATTTAAACAGTCAACCTTTAACAATTTTACACCACATTTATATTGCCATAAGAAGATGTGTCAGTTAACATGAGATACTACTATATTAATATTTTAAAATCATGTACTGTATTCATTTCTTACATTAAAGTACTAATTAAGTCCAAAACCCATCGTTTAAATATGTGCCTTCCAAAAAACATCAAAGTTTTCTTTCAACTTTGCTCCCCATAATTTAGTATATAAACATAAAACTAAACGAATATATATATATATATATATATATATAAAGATGTATTATCAACACCAAGATAGATTGCAGAATCATATTTTAAAACAAACTTTATCACTTAAAAGGTCTAATTAGCTTTTCATTTGCTGTTTCAATATGAGAATTCCACTTCTCCTAACACACACACACGCACGCACACACTCTATCTATACTAATTAACTAACTAATAATGATAACCAAAAGGGACGACTTCTTTAAGTACGGAGCTGAAAGTAGAAGATGGGAAGCCTATGGGCGGAGGAGAATCAGAAGAAACTGCCCATGAGGAAAAAGCTGTGGATATTAAGAATAATAAGGAGGAGGCCATGAATGAATCTGGTTTACCAAATGAGGAGGTAATAAAGAAGAAGAAGTCCTTGAGAGAGAGTGTTTCCAATATTTCTGAACAAACAGCGTCTGCATCATCATCATCATCAGAATCTGAATCTTCAAGTAATAAAGATGTTCCCCAGGAGATTAAAGTAGAAGAAGAAGAAGAAGGAAGCTTGAAAGAATATGTGTGGGCTAACAAGTATCAACCCAAGGCATTGCAACAATTTATCTGCCACAAACAGATTGTTTCTCAGCTATTAACGATGGTGAGATATAATATCACCTTTACTTCTTTCTTTTTTTTTTTGAATTTCACAATCCATTTGTTTATCCAACTAGTCTAAGTCCTTGCATAAGCTTATCAGAAAGTTACAAATTCTTCTTCATAGATTTGCACTAAAATGGAATCCCGAATTTCACTCTACTCATCACACCCACACACATCGAGTTTTAATTGCAGGTTAAGTAATTTTTAACTGTCGTTTTTATTTTATTTTAATTCAATGTTTTGATTTTCATCCAAAATCCATAAATGGTCTTTCTACTAAATTTTGTGGATCAATTTTATAATGATACTTTAATTTGGATGTAAAATGTTCCCCTTCCCTTGTTTTTTCCCCAATTTGCATGATTCCTATTATATCATAAAGTTTCTAAAACAAACATTTATGTAAAACAAGTCCCAACCGTGGTATATTAAGTTTCTATTAAGGTAAAAGCTAATTTAAGCAGACAAATAATTTAATCAACCTAAGATCAACATGTGAATGATATTGGTTTTGATGAACATGCAGGTAAAAGAGGGATCTTCTTGTGACCATTTTATTTTTGAAGGACCACCTGGTGTAGGAAAAAGAACCATGATACGAGCTCTACTTCGAGAGGTCTTTGGCAACGACGTTGTTAAGGTAGGTATATAACTATAAACTTTAAAAAGAAAATGAGATATAATTAGGCTCCTAATAAATTTTATTATATATACTGATATATGATATTAAACAAAATATTGTCAATCATAATGTGTGCTTATCACAGTTAGTTGTTGTTGTTTTTTTATATTCGTCAACTATGAAATTTTGATGTTGCTACTTCATTGAAATTTGCGTCTGTTTACAGGTGACTGAGGAATATAGAACAGTTTTATTAAAGGTAATGCTTTAATGCTTAACTATTAAAGAACTCTCATAAGTAGCTTACTTTATATGTACGAGTGATCATTTCAAAGTTTTGACTCTTAAGGTACTCTCAAATTAATATATCAAGTAATTTAAAGAGATCAATTCGTAATATCAACAAATAAAGCAAGGAGACGATGAGACTTGTAGCGAGGTTTTGTTGATAAAAATTTTAAAATGAATTAGATGAACTTTTTTCCTGTTTATTGTACGTATACCAAGTATGACAAATGTACCATATTGTTGATATTCTGTATATACACACTCTTTCCTTCCGATCCTAAATGTAAGAATTAGATAACTAATTTGTAAATATTAAGAAAATTTAGTGAAGTCATTTGTAAAAAAATGTATGTTAGTTTTTCTAGAAGACTATTCTAATCAACATGAAGAGTTTAGAAGGAAAAATTGGAATAAATTTGGGAGACGGTTGATTGTGGAGGTCTCAAATTATGCGTTAATTAAAGCACATGCCTCTACTTGCTCTTACGTTTAGGATCAGAGGGAATCGTATGATTTGATTTGCTGTATATTTGTATGTATGTATGAATGTGTGTGTATACGTATTAAAAGAATGATTAAGTGAATTGACAGGGAGAGGTGATAGGAAGCATCCAAGTGCCAATAATAAAATCAGGACATCATATGGAAGTCAATATCTCGCAAACAAAAGGCTATGAAGAGCATGTGGTTGCTTATTTATTACGAGAAACTTACGACAAGACCATCAACACTTCAATGCCTTGCGTGCCAGAAAACTGCCAAGGTAATTAATTTATCTGTTTTAAATTTCAGCTAAGACATATTGAGAATTCCTCTTGCAATTAATATTAATATCCAAGTGTTCATATGGTTGTTTTCTTATGTTTTGGAAGCCCTAATAATATACGAGGCAGAGACACTATCAACAGAATCGTTGTTGTACATAAAGTGGATGATTGGAAGATATAATAAAGGTTGCAATAAAGTCTTCTTTTGCTGCTCTGATGGATCCAAGCTCCAAACTCTCAAACCTCTCTGCAAAACCTTTCGTCTTTCTCCTCCTTCCACTCAAGAGGTCAGAGACTTTCTCTTTATTATTATTATTATTAGTCTTTGCTCTAAACCAGATTTGGTTGATTGGCTTCGAGATATTAAGCGTTAATTTGACGAAGTTAAGAATATTTTGTACTTGAAGTAAACAGATTGTTGAGGTTTTGAAATACATAGGGAAAGAAGAAAGGAAAGAATTGCCCCTTGAATTCCTTACCAAGGTTGTTGAGAAGTCAAAGAACAATCTTCGTCAGGCCATTCGTTCTTTGGAGGCCACTTGCCAGAACAAGTGAGATTTATTTATTTATTCAATATAAATGCCCATAAAATTCTTCATTAAATTAATTCGCCAATCCTTCTTATATATATATATATATATATGGTCTTTAGTCCTTAATATAAAACCCAATTGATTAATTTAGAGAGATTAAGAAAGTTACTAAATCACTTAATTATAATATATGTTACATGATGTCTCTAAAATACTTACGTATATTAGATGATATATCCACTTATAAGTGTAACAAATTAGTTTAGAGGAAAATAGATACTATAAGGTAATTTATTAATTTTGTTAACCTTTTGAAATAAGTCAATTGGGTCTCATATTAAGAACTAGAAGTAGTATAATATATGTGATTGAAGCATTTAGTAGCTAGCCATAATTTAGTGATGAGGTATTTAATTTGGTGGTAATTTATGGTAATTTGTCTACTATGTCTTCTCATCGAATAATAACTATTTCGTTTGCAGGGATTCAATCAAAGATGACGAGCTAATTTTAACAGGATGGGAAGATGACATCTCAAATATTGCTAAGAGTATACTTAAAGAGCAAAGTCCAAAACAGTAAGTGATGCATTTGTGTGTGTGTGTATAACTGAGCATATTTCTTCATGTCTTACTTGTTGTCTGGTATAAGTTCTATTATTTATAATTTACTCATTCAATTCTTAATAGAAGACCTAATTGATAAGTTAATTTTGGTCTCAAATGTAAGACTTATTTATCGTATTTATTAATTTTTTCTAGATTATTTTTATGAATATTCCCTCAACCATAATCAAGTAGAAAAGAGAGGGAGAATATTAAGGAAGATGATTATGAAATTATAGAAAAAAAGATGTCATATTTTTTATAATTAACTAACTTGCCTAGCTTTCTTAATCTAATCAAATTAGTTAAATATGTGTTACATTAAGGATAGGATGGGTAGTAACTATTTTTATATTTACTATTTGTTCATATATATGTTTCAATTATGGTTTGAATCATGCGCGCACACGAAAGATATCTAATTATTTTATAATAAAAAAGAAACTAATAACATTATTGATGTAATTTACTTTCAATAGGCTATACATGATTCATGTGAAGCTCGAAAGTCTCATGATTCACAAGGTTTCACCTGACTTTGTTTACAAGGCAAGTGCACATTCAATTTATGTTTATGTATATGGTTTTTAATGATTTTCTCTTCAAATATTGAGGATGATATATTTGTTGATACAGTACTTGGTATCAGAGCTAAAATCTCTGGTGGATGAATCACTAAGACCAGGGCTTGAAAAACTCAAGAAGGAGTACAAACATGTACAAAAACTCTCTATTTAATTTCGAGAATAAGTGATTATATGAATTCGTTTTCGTAATAAATTTATACCAGGATAAATATATTACGCAAAACTACTTTTTTTTTTAAAAAAAAAAATCCAATTTCAGAATGCTTATGGAATGAAGATGAGAAGTGGGAAGCATTCTGGTCATGCTCACAACAAAGTAAGGGAATCTGATGAAAGGAACAATGCAACACTCAAGAAGAATGCTCGCACTTACTTGGAAGTTGAAGGTAAATACTTTTTCCTTTTTTGCATCTAATAAATTTTGGTCATAAAATTGATTTGATTTATCATGTAATTAACAAGTACTCCTTCCGAATTTTTTTATAAGCATATAATAATAACTTTACATAAATCAATAAAGTTAGTTAACAATAATTATTTCTTATAAAAGATCAAAATTATCTTCAATTAAAGTTATTAGTTAGAAGAGTTTGATTAATTATATAATTGGAAAGTTTTATAGTTAGCTAGGAATACTAGGTAAAAAAAATTAATACTTCTTAGGTCCTAAATATAATACCCTTATATACTTAGGTCCTAAATATAAGACCTTTATATACACTAGTATAAGGGTCTTACATTTAGGACTTGAGGAATACTTTATATAAAACATGTTATGTTACGAAATGTAGTTGGGACGTAATAAGGATAGGAGGGAGTATGATTATATTAACAAAATTTAATATAATAGATACAATAGTGTTTTTGTATCTATTCATTATATTATAATTGAAGTTTATGATGATAAATTATAATTCACGTATCATTCAACAAAGTTTTTTTCTAAGGGATGGGGGCAAACCCGTTATAAATAATCTTGAATGTAGATAATTTGAAATATTTTTTTTGGCAAAAAATCCTTTGAAATAATTTAAAAGGATAAAATTAGATAACATATAGGAATAACTTTATGGATCCTACTTCTACATGTAGATATCATAGGTCTGACCTCTCTCTTGTCTCATTCTAACTTTATCATAAAATCTTTCATAGGATTCTAATCAAGTGAGTTCCACATCATTTATTTATCTCTCTCCAACTACGTACAAAGAAGATCTTGACTGGGGAGAGTCTTGATTATATATGTTCTAGCAAAATTTAATTTCAAAATTTACTATACATATGAATGCTAATTATATACATTTTAATTTTTAATCTTTAAACATATTTTGAAATTCTTATGTGATCGGAGACCAAAATTTTGAAAAATTGAAAATAGGATGTGTGCATTATTACTTATTGAACCAGTTTTTTTCTTTCAGAATTCATAGCAAAATTCATGAGCTGGTACAAGAATTCTGCTGCAAAAAGTGACAATGCGTAAGTAAATTTGGAGTACAAAAGCCTATTGTATTATAGTTCATGAATAAAAATGGTGTTTATATGATCCATAGTCTACACTCAATCATACTGTACAATGGGTTTGAAGGCTTTGCCTGAGAGATCAAACAATTCTCAAATAATGTGTTGTAAAATTTATGACTTATCACTTAATTACGCCAGTTAATATATTATGTCTCTAAGTGTGTTTCAGTGATTTGTTTAGCCACTTTGTTCCTTCAAATTGCATAATTTGAATTCATGTAACCATATCCTGCAGGAAGTAAGTACAATTGTGAAAAAAAAAATTCTTCAAAAAGATTTCTTTTGTTTTACTAGTATATATATAATAGAGACTTTCTTTTTATTTTTAAAAGTGGAAACCGGAGGCGGGAAGGAGTGTCCAGAAGCTAAATTTTGCGCGCGTGCATACACACGCACAACACACACGGGGTAATTTGGGCATATGGAAAAGATTAAAGATTTACTATTTCCGGTTCTTAATATAAGAACTAGTTGACTTATTTAAGTAGATTAAGCAAGTTTATTAAGTTAGTTACTTATAATAAATAGGAGTTTTTTTCCTAAAAGAACTTGGTAATTATGTGTATTAGTTAGAATTACTATTTGATGAAACATATAACATGTGCAACTATTGTAAGGAGTATCTTTAAAAAAATAAATAAATACAAGAGATAAAGTGGATTGGGCTCTTATATACAAGACTAAATTAAAAATTAAACTTGCTCTTATATATATTGAGCACGGGAGGTCGTATATATGTTTTATATAACATGTTTGCCAAAGCCAATACCCTATAGCATTGACTTTTGTAAAATTGTTTCCAAACACATAGTAGTAATATACTATCAGTTTCCAAAGCTAAGAAGTTTTGATGAGTTTTATTCGGCCTTTTAGTTTTAAATTAAGAAAAATTAACCATTTCCTTCTTGTCCTTTTGATTAAATTACAACTTAATCTTTAAAGTTTAACAAGGTGTAATACTGTAATTGATCGGTTCCTTCAGTTTTAACGATATATTTAATTCGTCAGTTTTTATGGTGATAATTCATTCCTCAAAGATTAAAGGATTTTTCAAGAGCATAAAGACTAATGGATTAAATGGTTAAAAATTAAAGAATTTAGTTTCACAAATTAAACTGAGAAGGGATTTTTCTTTAACTAAAAAGAAAGAGAGTGCGTGCGTCCGTGTGATCAGTAAACTGGAGCTCTTTCTAAACGGATTCATCAACGGTGGGTACAACTTATTCTTGATTTGACAGTAAACCAGATTTCAAATTTAGAAGTTTTATTAAAATTTGAGTATTTTTTTTTAACAAAAAAGTTCAACTACATATTCTTAAATACATGCAACTGAAACACACACACACACCTCTTTTCATAACATTGTCAAAACTACCAAAACTTGAAAATTTTAAAAAAGTTAAAAGGATGTGTACTGAAAAAGATGATCAAATGCATATTAAAAAGGAGTAATTTGGTATGAGAAAGTAAATTTAACGTCATAAGCTTGGGCATCTCTACACTAGAGCCATGTCCTCCTCTGGTCCTATTTATAAGATAGAGAGAGAAGGTTTTATTTGTTTTATTTATAAGTTATTTTATTAAAGTTTTACCACGAATGTACCGTATTATCCTTTATTTATTATAGTGTAGATAGTTAGTTTTTTTAAATGAATATATATTAAATAGGGGTAAAGTTAAAAAGTTACTGTATATTTAATGAATAGTTAATACAATTTAAGGTTTTTTTTAACTGTATGAAACATGTTGAAAGTATCTTATAACATCCAACAATTACACTGTTTTAAATGAATTTGGATAGAACACTTTTAAGAATAAAATAATTTTTTTTAAAAAAATAAATATCTGAATGCATGCCTAAACGCCAATTCAACTTACGATAATGGCCATAATTACTGTACAGAAGGTATATAACAACAAAACTCCCCATCAAGCACTTCTTTTTAAGACACTTTAAGGATTTGTATATAGGCGATTTTTTTACTGACAGAATTTAATGATCCGATGATGCGTAGATTGGGTTAAATATACAAGAACAAGATAAAAATAAAGTTAGATGAGAGTGATGGACCCAGAAAAAAGGAGTTGCGAGGGCAAATATTAACAATTTAATGATTCCATGTTGGGTTGACTGGGTCAAATGGATCAAAGAGTCCATTTAAATTTGGTTGAAGACAAATAGACAATTTAAAAATCAAGTTAGATGAGGAGTGATGAACCCAGAAAAATCAAAATTAGCAGGCCGAAATCATGCCGACCATTACTACTACTATTACTTTTTTTTAGTGTATAAGTATCTTTTTATTAGAGGTAATTTTATCCAACTTACTATTGGGTACTAAACATGGGTATCTCTCATTAGTTCGCCCCATCGTGAAGAGCTAGCCACTTTCACTAGATCTAACTTCTGTTGGTATATTACTATTACTCCTTACAATTTTTAATATAAGAATTAGTTGATGGGTAAATTTAGTTCTAAATATAAGTTCTCAATTTATCATATCCCAAAGTTATAATTTTTTTCTTCAAAATATTCTCATTGATTATAAAAAATTTTCACTAAAGAATAATTCTAATACACACCATTAAATAAGATAATTTAAAGAAAGCAAGATACGTTTGTTAAAATAACCCTTTCAACTAATTTCCTTGATATTCTAAACATAAGAAGCAACGGTAGTATTGTCATTATTTGGGGTGTCGGCAAGAAGAATATTGTTTTCTTTTTGGGAGGGTGGGGGGGGGGTTGATTTAGTAGAGTTATGTGAAGATTTCTCCATTATAATGGGGGGCAAGTGGCCCCGTGGTCTATAACGGAGGTGCGTCATTTGGCTGTCGCAAATCGCAATCATAACCCAACGTCTCCCGCCATGCGTTCAAAAACGAATAAACCAGGATCTCATTTCGGCCTCCAGGTTTGGATCCAAGTGGGAAATAATTGCACCCCGACAAAAAATCCCGCAAATTTTGGGATAAAAACCATCAGATCTTTCTACATCCTGAATGCAACTCCAATTTTTGAACTCCCACTTGCAGTAAAAACTCTTTTAAGTGCGTTTATTAAATTAACTATAGGACTAACAAAAAATAATAATAATCATGGGGGATCGTCTTCTTTCCAATCCATTTGTATTGCTTTATTATATTACTCCTCCGGTCCTTAATATAGGACCCAATTGTTGAGTTAGTTTTGATCCTAAATATAAGACCAATTTATCATATTTATCAGTTTTTTCTAAATTACCCCTATGAATACTCCTTTAACCATAATCAAGTAGAAGAAGAAGATGGGTTTTAAAAGTGAGTTTTATATTATGGTATTTTAGGAAAAACGTGTCACATTTCTTATAATTAACTAACTTACCTAACTTCTTTAATCTAATCAAATTAGTTAAGTGAGTTTTATATTAAGGACCGGATGAGTATATTCTTGGAATATACTTCCACACTAAAACCTACCAGTCAAGCCTTCCTCAGTACAAATAGCATTTGCCTTGTACTGGTAAGAACTCATTTGCAAGCTCTCTCTTCTCTGTATCTCCGTTTGATTCTACCGTTCTTGTTCATCAGCTTTTGAGCTTCGTCCATGGCTGACCAAAACAACCAGCACCATCTTCCTCATGCTGATTCCATGGATCATATCAGAATAGATATTTCTGATCCTCAAGTTCTCCAGGAGCCTGCAAAAGCATCATCTGGTATGGTTTCTATCCACATTTTACTTTTCTTGTGTTATCCACCGATAGATCTGCTGATATGGTTCTTCGCATGAACAAAATCTAATCTTGGGTTGATTTAAACATAACCAGCGAGCCCAATCTGTCAACATTATGCATGATTATTCATCAAACGAGCGATATTATTATTGGAGACATAGAGACTCGCCTCAGAGAAGCATGAGGATCGATGCTGCTACACTATATATTTCTCATGTCAGTTTTGAGACTAGCTAATGTCAATGCATTCTTCACTTGAAATCTTTCTAATTTGAAGATCTAAAGTAAAGCCATTGATCTTTATCGTAAAAGAGGTATACTAATATATTCTCTTTAGTTTGTCTTCTTTTGCTATGTTTTCCTACTTTGGCTATAATATATATGTGATGCTTTTACTGATTTTGATGCATACAATGGATTATAGAAGTGTGTTCTAATTTGTTTAAGAATAAATCTTTTGTTTTAACAAAATATTCTGGAAGCTAGCTAAAAATAGCTATGGGCTAAATTAAATTAGACTTCAAATTATGCGTGATAATTAGGTAGTTCAATCCCTTACCTTAAATTCAGATTATGATTTGCCAAAATAATGAAAATTTGTCGAATTTAGTCATTTGGGGCTAACTATTAGGTGCTAATAAATCAGGTCAAGACTTAAAAAAAAAAAAAACTACAAATTTCCCCTTACTATATATATATGTGTGTGTGTGTGTACATATATATGCTCTTCTTGCATGTTGGCTAATTATCATTCGTTTATGCATTCACATGGTGGAAAATTTTGTTTCTATTTTACCATAGCTATGCACTAGGTTTGTCTTTCCATACATTTACCAATTATTATTTTATTTGATAATTTTAGATACTGATACTTAACAATGCCACAGCTAGGGTTCTTTGAAGTATATTTGTTTTAAAGTGATGAGAGAAAAAGAGAGGCATGCTACAGTTTGGATTCCGTCCTCTCTATTTTCGGTTCCGCAAAACACACGTATTCTTGAACAGAGCAAAGGACTTTGACTAAAAGGCCTGCAAAAGAAGAAGAGTCAAAAAAGCCCCCACCGACCCAAACAATTTTGCATTCATATGCACTAACTGCTTCAACTGAATCCAAGGTAAGGTTTTTACAAGTTTATCTATAATAAGAAATGGTGACAGGCTTTTCTTAGCTCCTGCAAATTTAAGGTAGGCTGTCTTTTTCATCTTTCATATCTCTGTCTGCACCAAGTAATTTGCCATGCCATTTTTATGCACCATGATAACAGTGATGTTATTATTTTGTGCCAATTTCTATAGCAAGTTCAAATTAATTAAGGTTTTATCAGTTTAGAAGTATATTGATCTCATCACTATTCTGTACTTCTGTTTAGTTATTCTTGGAAGCATTTGCATGTACAGGATCTGACTTGAACGATTCGCAGAGTCTTGGTGTACGTGAAGAGAGAGCTCAAGATCTTAGTCCTGCCATAATCAATTCCAATCCTTCCCATGATTTGCCCCCGACAGGATCGCTCACAGACAGTTCTAGCAATGTCACTTCTGCAAACCCCCCTGTTAATAATCGTACGAATAGTGACATCGTTGAGACCCCTTCTCCATCACCACAACGTGAAGATACTAATAACAAACTAGGCTTCACAGTTTTTGCTGTTGAACTTCTAGGTGCTCTGACCAATCTGGCTGTTTCCTCAAAAGCAAAACATGACCAGGTTCTGATTTATGTTGTGGTGGCTTGTTCTGCACTTGCCTTCTCTATTTCTTCAACTGCTCTTGTGTTGCACAAGAAAAGGCCCTTGATTGCCAAGAAGATGCAAAGAGCTGCGTTTGTGATTGGGACGTTTGGATTGATGGGAATAATGGGCATGCTTCTGCCTTCAACGATCTCCTGGTGCTTCACTGTCTCTGCCTTCCTTGTTTGGATGTTGATGTTTGCCGTTGCAAGTTTGATTAAGTGAGTGGAATCCATATTTGAACTCACACGTGTAACTTTGCATGTATAAGTAACCATTGTGGTTGCCCTTGTGCATTTGTTTTTCTGGGTTCTTGTCTTAGTATGGTTTTTGTGAAGAGTGCTTGATTTTCCTCCAGTGCTAATAATCTTGTATTGGACGTCGTGGCTAAGAGATAGTGGGACTTGGGCAGACATGGATCATTAGCTATTAAACTGTTAATTTCTTAAACAAGTTCTTAGGAGGTAGGGGTAGGAATTTTCTCTCATAACATGTAATTCATTTCCATGCCAGATTCTGATTCAGTCCTCCAAGATTTAATTGATTTTAGACAAAAAGAAGTTTACTGGTGTCGGTTAGAGTTGCGGGATTTAGATGAGACTATGAGAAGGGAATCAAAATTGACAAAAGATGACTAAGGGAAAAGTTGTCAGCAAGAATTTTAGGAATGCGTCTAATAATAGAACAAATGATTCTAATACGCACATCAAACACACAAGAATCCTGCAAGTGAAGCCAGAAAAAAGATAATTGCTCTTTATATATATATGTATGTGTGTGTGTGTGCGAGCGCACACACGAAAAGAATAATTGTTTTATGATAAAAACCTTCTATTACCTAAATATATGTATATCTATATCCAGACAAAAGTCATATGAGCTTAGACACCAAAAGTAGCGACTTATAACAATATTGATGATTTATTTTCAATAGTCTATACATGATTCACGTGAACATCCATAGTCTCATGATTCACAAGGTTTCACCTGACTTTGTTTACAAGGTAAGTACACATTTAATTTATGGTGCTTATGTATAAATATGATTTTAAACAAATTTCTCTTCTCTGAATATATCCAATAATTTGAGGATGATATATTTGTTCATACAGTATTTAGTATCAGAGCTAAAATCTCTGGTGGATGAATCACTAAGGCCAGGGCCTGAAAGAAGGAGTACGAACATGTACAAAAGCTCTCTACATTTCCAGAATAAATTATATATGAGTTCATTTTTGTGATAAATATATTACACAAATTATTTTTTTTCAAATCCAATTTCAGAATGCTTATGGACTGAAGATGAGAAGTGGGAAGCGGTCTGGTCGTGCTCACAACAAAGAAAGGGAATCTGATGAAAGGAACAATGAAATACCGAAGAAGATCGCTCGCACTTACTTGGAAGTTGGAGGTAACTAATACCTTTTTCTTTTTGCATTTAATTAGTGTTAAAATTAATTTGATTTATCATGTAGTTAACTTACAAGTACTACCTCCGCTTTTTAATATAAGACTTAGTTTGACATTCAATTGCTCCTAAATATAAGATTTTGATCCATTTTATCTCTCATGTTTATTCATTTTGCACAATGTAGTCCTTATAATCACTGTACATTTTAAATGTTTTATCAAATAGTAGTTCTAACTAATATACATGATTAGCAAGAGTATTTTAGGGAAGACAATACTTGTTTATAACAAATAACTTACTTAACTAATCTCTATAACTTACTCAAATTAGTCAACTAGTTTTCATATTAAGGATCGAAGCTAGTGCCTAATAATAACTTTACAAAAGTTAACAAATAAAGTTAGTTAAAATTAGTTATTTCTTAAAAAATATCAAAACTACCTTCATTAAAGATCATTAGTTAGAAGAGTTTGGTTAATTATATACATAGTTAAGAAGTTTTAGAGGTACTAGGTGAAAAAAATTAATACTTTAGATAGGACATGTAATATTATGTAAACAAAGCTAGAAGTCCTTATAATAATTATAATGACCGAATCGAGGGAGTATGATTGTATTAATAAATTTAATATAGTAAATAAATAGTGCTTTTGCATGTAATCATTATATTATAGTTAGAGTTTATGATAAATTATAATTCACATATCATTCAACAAAGGTTATTAGGGGGGAAGGGGGCAAGCACGTTATATGTAATCTTGAATCTAGGTCCTTTGAAATACTAGTAAAACATAAAATTAGATAATGTATAGAAATAACTTTATAGGTCCTGTTTCTAGATCTGCATATAGATATCATAGATTCAACCTCTCTTGTCTCATTCTAACTTTATCATAAAATCCTTCATAGGATTCTAATCAAATGAGTTTCACTTGTCATGAAGCTCGTCATTTATCTATCTCTACAGACAACACTTTGATTGGGGAGAGTCTTGACAATATAAGTTAGAGCTAAAACTAACTTTAAAATTAACTCTCTCTCTCTCTCTCTCTCTCTCTCTCTATATATATATATATGAATGCTAATATTTTTTTTTGGCCAAATATATGAATGCTAATATAAATTTTAATTTTTAATCTTTAAACATATTTTGAAATTCTTATGTGGTTGGAGAACACAATTTTGAAAAATTGAAAATAGTTAGTGTGTATATGTGTGTTATTACTTATTGAGCCAATTCTTTTTTGCTTCAGAATTCATAGGAAAATCCATGAGTTGGTACAAGAGTAGTTCAGCTGCACAGAGTGACAATGCGCGAGTAAACTTGAGGTTGGATTATGCTTAACAACTGCTTGTTGCATTATAGTTAATGAACGAAAATCACATTAATAAACAAGAGGCTTGAAGGCGTTGCTTGAGACCAAACAATTCTCAAATAATGTGTTGTAAAATTTATGACTTGATACTTATGCTGCTTAATATTAAGTGGGTCTCAATTATTTGTTTACAGCCACTTCGTTCCTTCAAACTGCAGAATTTGAATTCATGTAATCATATCTTGGGAGTAATTATAATTGTGAAGAAAAAAAATTATACGTTAAATATTCCAGTATACTGAAATTTCTTTTGCTTTACAAGTAGATATATAACAGAGACTTTCTTCTTCTTTTTAACTATAGTTTCTAATTCTATCCCAATCCAACTGCTTCATTATCAGTATCAGCAAAAAAATTTTTAATGTAAATAATTAATTTAACTAATTTTCTTAATATTTTTTTAATTAACTATCTAACTCTTCTACATTAAAGTTTAAGAGTAATATTATATTACTTTCTGGGTGTTGGCAAAACGTTTTTTTTTTTTTTGGGGGGGTGGGGGGGGGGGTGGTTCTATTTAGTGGGGTTATGTGAAGTCTTCCCCCTGCACTTTGGCTGCCACAATCATAAATCAACATCTCCATGCGCGTGTTTGGTTTTTATCATTAAATGATGAGACAGAAATGAGAGAGGAAGGCCAGAGAGTGGGACCGATAACGGTAAAAAAACGAATATGCCTGGATCTCATCATTTCGGTCTCCATGTGTGGATCTAAGTGGGAAATAACTGTACCACACGACAAAACTCCGCAAATTTAGGGATAAAAACCATTTAGATCTTTCCGGATCCCTCAACTCCAATTATGGAACTCCACACTCCAGTAAACACTCTTTTAAGTTCATTTATTTAATTAATTATCACACTAACGGAAAAAAAAAAAAAATGATTCACATGCGCACCCCCTCTTATGTGGGATCGCCTTCTTTCCGATATCCATGTTTGCTTTATTATTGTACTTTCCACATTCAAACCTACCAATCAACCCTTTCTCTGTACAAAAGCGCCATAGACTTTGCTTCATGGAGTGAGGACTCATCACTCGAAAGCTCTCTCTTCTCCGTATCTCCCTTTGATTCTACCTTTCTTGTTCATCAGCCTTTGAGCTTCGTTCATGGCTCAGTACCAAAACCACCAACATTTTCGTGACGATGAGTCCATGGATCCCCACAAGTTCATCGAGAGCTTCATCCTAGCATCATGCGGGGAGAAGAAAAGGCACGAGTTTGATCTCAAATATTCAGTGTCTTACACACAAAGACTGATTAAGAAACACCTGGGAATTTCTGTAGTCCAAGATTTAGCGCTTTCTTCGTCGGCTACTTCATCTTCGTTTCAGTTACTTCAACAAACCATCGATCAATTGGCTTCTCGTCATGCTGGTTCTGAGCAGAACATGCTTCAGGTTTGGGATGACCTCATCAAAATGTCTGATCCTCATCATGTTCTCCTGGAGCCTGCAAAAACATCACTTGGTATGGTTTCTATCCACATTTTGCTTTTCTTTTGTTGTCTACTGATAGATCTGCTGAAATGATTGTTCCTATAAACAAAATTTAATCCCGCGTTGATTTAAACATATCCAGCTAGCCCAAATTTGTATATAATATGCTTGATTATTCAAGTATAATATATATGGTCAAACGAGTGACATTGGAGCCACGGAGACTCACCTCGGAGGGGCATGAGGATGGATGCTGCTACATCTGTTTCTCATCTCTTTTGTACGTGATATTATTCTTCACTTGAAATCTTTCTATTTTGAAGATCGAAATCTTCATGTGGAAGAGGTATGTATACCTTGTTTAGTTTGTCTTCTTTTGCTCTGTTTCATTAATTTGTGATGCTTTTCCTGCTTTTGATGCATACAACGGATTATAGAATTGTGCATTAATTTGTTTCTTTAACACCTCATCCAAAATATGTCGGTCAGAAATGATAACTAATGTATTTAAGAATAAATCCTTTAATTTGACAAAATATTAATTGTTGAAGCTAGCTAACTAAAAATAGCTAGGTGCTAAGTTAGGTTAGACTGTGCATAATAATTAGGTAGTACATCCCTTACCTTAAATTCACGTAAGGATTTGCCAAACTAATTAAAAATTGTTGAATTTAATAATTTGGGGCTAAATTAAAAGGACCAACAAATTCACCCTAACTCTATATATATATATGAACTATTTGCATGTTTATCAATTATAATTCATATATGCATTCACATGATGGAAAATTTTGTTGTCTATTTTACCATATATAGCTTCTAATTTTGTCTTTCTATACATTTACGGATTATTATTTTTTTTATAATTTAAGATACTGATACTTAACAATGCCACAGCTAGGATTGTGTGAAGTAAATTTGTTTCAAAGTGACGAGAGAAAATGAGAGGCATGCCGCAGTTTGGGTTCCTCTCAATTTTCATATCTCTCACTGTACTTTTATTTCAGGGGATCCAGATAACATCAGTGCATAGCAGTACTGCAAAACACACCTATTTTCAGATAAAGCAAAGGACTTTGACTAAAAGGCCTGCAAAAGAAAAAGAGTCAAAAGCCTCCAATGGAGATACAAATTACTCTCAACTCTCATCAGATCTGATCCTTTCAGATGTTTGCTACACCACCTCTCTTCAGTCAAATACTCCTTCTGATCTGTACGGAAACTCTGATCATGATTACTCACTCTACCCAAACCATTTTGCATTCGTATGCTCTAACCGCTTCAACTGAATCCAAGGTAAAGTTTTTACAAGTTTATCTATATTTGTTAAGAAATGGTGACAAGCTTTTATTAGCTCCTGCGAATTTAGGTAGGCAGTGTTCTTTATCTTTCATATGTATGTCAGACTTGTTAGTTTCTTCACCAAGTAATTTGTCATACCATTTTTATGACCCATGATAATAGTGATGATGTTATTATTTTGTGTCAGTTTCCAAAGCAAGTTCAAATTAATTAAGGTTTTATCAGTTTAGAAGTATATTGATCTCGTCACTGTTCTATACTTCTGTTTAGTTATTCTTGGAAGCATTTGCATGTACAGGATCTAATCGGTTGAAGGAGTTGTTGGGGATTGTTGATGTACGCGAAGAGCAACCTAGAGATCTTAATCCTGCCAACGCTTCCCATAATTTGTCCACAACAAGATCTCCAACGGACAATTCGAGCAATAATATTTCTTCTCCAAACTCCTCTGTTAATCCCCCGAGGCCTAATTTTCCCTCCATGGCAAATGATAGTTACACTATTAATATTACCACGCCTGCTTCTGCATCATCACCACATGAAGATAACAAACTAGGCTTCACAGTTTTTGCTGTTGAACTTCTAGGTGCTCTAACTAATCTTGCTGTTTCATCAAAACCGAAACATAACCAGGTTCTGATTTACGTTGTGGTGGCTTGTTCTGCACTTGCCTTCTCTATCTCTTCAACTGCTCTTGTGTTGCATAAGAAAAGGCCTGCGATTGCTAAGAAGATGCAAAAAGCTGCGTTTGTGATTGGGACGTTTGGATTCATGGGAACAATGGGCATGCTTTTGCCTTCAACTATCACTTGGTGCTTCACTATCTCTGCCTTCTTTCTTTGCATGTTGATGTTTGCTGTTGCAAATTTGATTAAGTGAGTGGAAGCCACTTGAACTCACACGCGTTACTTTGCATGTTATGAGTATCTATTGTCGTTGCCTGTTTTTCTTGGTTCTTGTCTTAGGATGTATAGTAGTCTCTATGATCCTCAAGATGAGCTATTTTGAATTCTATATGTTGATTACTACATATAAGATCTGTATGTCGCGGTGGGTAGCTTGTTCTACACTTGAATTCCTTATTTCTTCAATTGCTCTCCAATTGCATATAGGTTCAATAGATCTACGTAAAATATTTTTATTGTTATTGGTTAGAGTTTGGGGATTTAGATAAAAACTATGAGAAGGGAATCAAAGTCCACAAAAGATGACGACTAAGGAACAAATTTTGTAATGGGGTAACTTAGTCTCTACAATGCATCCTATAATAGACCAACATGTGACTATATAAGAACACTGCAGGAAAAGATAACTGTCCTTTGTACAATATCAAATGATACTCTGTTTACCCCTGTTTTCTATTATGAAAAAACAGGGACAAACATCCTAACAGCCAAAGAAGAAACGAAGTTAGCTGGCGAGCCAACTCAACATCTCTTATTCAGTATCAGCTAAATTTGATGTTATATCTTTTGACATAAATACAACAACAAAAAAGTACTCTTTCATTGATAATTTGGATAATTGCCTCCAGAAAGAGAATCCAAACCCTCTTTCATTACATTCGTGAATCATCATCATAACAAATAAGAACTCAATATTAATAAATAAAAGCACCTATTATACATTTAAGTTAAACATGTATAAAAAAGGTCTCTTTCAAAACCCAAACAAACTATGAATAGTGATAGAAATCATGAAAGTTTCTGACCTTTCCGTGTGAACTTGCTCGTGAAAACCAGTCAATGGTAGAGTCTCTTTAAATGAGGCTTGAGATGTTTCTGAGTATTTCCCGACTTCTGGCAAACAAGGGATGTAAAAGACACTTGATTAATGATGACATGAGCCCAAATGCTTGAAACAAAGGCTTTGAATAAGAGATAGGAATACATCACGTGACAAACATCATCCTTAGAGGCAAAGGCACATTGTGCATCTTTAATGTTTGAGTTGGTACTTTTGCCATAGAGATGTTTTTAAAATCTCATCCCTTGTTATCACAAACAAAATAAAGGAATTCAACACATATATAGAAAGAACAAAACTAAGGAATTTGACCATTTTAAACACTAAGTAAAAGAAAAATAACAATACCTATAGTTTTGCATATCCCGCTCTGATAAGCTGGGAGCCTCATCAACAAGGCATTTTGCATCATAATAAATTAACCATATGAGCCTTTACTACTGGAGGGTCTCATTATGAGCCTTTCCCACTCTTTTCTTAAGGTATTTTGTTGTTTACTACTTGAGGGTGTCATTATAATCCTTCCTTCATCCATGAAAATCCCAATTCCTGCTTGTTTTAGAGAAGTACAAAGATGAGCAACAAATAATTTACATGCATCCTCACCTCTAAAACTTAAGAACTCATCATGATCATACATGGATTTTGGTTCGTTTGGAGTGATTCCCCTCCCTATCTCTTGTAGCAAATCATGCATATGAATCTTATTATTGACAACCTTTACAAGGTTACACTCAATAAGTACTTGCATTCCCATTTCTATGGAGAATCTTGAGTCCTTAAGCAATTTTTTAAGATAACACTTGCTCTGGCCAACATGAAAGTTTGCTATATCGCAAAACGATTTCTTCTTAGACTTATTTTAAGCTTATTTTGCGTTCGATCATTTGGAACTTTTTTCAATTTGTTCAATACCTTTTCCCACTCTTATTTTGTCTTCTTATGCAAAAAGAGAGCCTATAACTTACAATAACCAACAGTAGCCCTTTACATAAAGCAATTATTTTCCTAGAAAGGTTCACAAAATCATTTGTTGGACCGAAGTTTTTAAATGCATGCCAACCAAAAACGTAAAGAGACTCACTGTGGTCCAACTTTTTCGCTTTATATGATATGTCAACAAAGTGATCAAGTAAACTCTGTTTTCTTGTTGTAACGAAAATCAAGGATCTCTATTTCCACACAGTTCGGTGAGTTGGCCTTCTTGATTTACATCATCAAGTACAATTAAGGCTCTTCTATAAGGTCTTTGCTTCGCACGATTCTCTTGAATATCTGAAAGAAGTTGCTTTGTAGAAGAACTTAACCATTGGTGTTCTTCCAGACATCCCTGGTATTAGAAAGGAAACTTCTACAGCTAAAATGGCCGCCAATTGCATCATAAATAGCTCTTGCGGTGGTAGTTTTACCAACACCTCCAATTCCCCAAATTTTGACGATGATCGTACTTTTCTTATTATGGGATTTCTCGCACAATTGATGTAGCACTTCTTTCACGCGACGTCGCAACCTTAATTGTGATATGGCTTTTGCGATGAAGTTATTGATAACTTCTTGGACGCTGGTCGCAGATTAGAATCAGAACAAAATTAATGGAGGTAAATGTTACGATAAAAAGATATATTATATATTATTATGAAATTAACCAATAATAAAAGTAGATTGGAGAAGAGAAGTAGACAAGAAAATGAGAGAATGATATTGTATTCCTTGCTTTGCTTCACTTACCTCACAATACAATGACATGCCTTATTTATAGGCATAGTCTCACACATAAGTTACATTTGTACTTAAATGATAGATAGTGGACAATAAACCATATGAATATGAGTGGGGGGAGTTACAAGATTAAAGACATAGTGGAAAGGTAATGGAGTAGTGGAAGATTAATGCCTAGTGGAAGTAGTGGGAGTTGATGATGAAGTTGAGAGGAAGAGGAAGAGGAAGAGGAAGAGGAGGATATGGACATCCACATATTATAATATTCATAACACTCCCCCTTGGATGTCCATTATCTAAGATATGTGCCTCATTAAAAAACTTCAACTAGGAAAAACCCTGTGGGATAAAAACCTAGTAGAAGAAAAAGAGTACACATTCATTGATACACTATTCGATGCTGCCTCATTAAAAACCTTGCTAGGAAAACCCAGTGGGAAAAAACCATAGACAAGGAAAAAAGAGTACAGCATGTATTAACTCCCCCTCTTGATAACATCAATTGATATCCTTGAGTCATGACATCTGATATCATGAACAAACTTTTCAAATATTGTAATAGGAAGTGACTTGGTGAACAAATCTGCTAGATTTTTATTTGAATGAATTTGCTGGATATATATTTCACCATCTTTTGGATATTGTGAGATAAATACTCCATTTGGAATTACCAGCATGTGAATCAAAAAAGAATCTAGAATTCTATTCCAATGTCTTTGGTGAAGAACTATATCTTATCAGTAAGTTAACAGCAAATGATATGTGACATCATGCATGACTGATAAGATATGATATGGTACTTCTGGACCTATGATTTGGTACTTCTAGACCAAATAGTTCTTCATCAAATTCTCAAAATCTAAAAGGTTCTTTATTCACCTCCACAAATCTCACAACCATCAAAGTATATAATGGATATGATTTATCCATATAAAAATACTTTAAGGCTTTTCTTGTATCAATTATTTGATACACAAAAATCTTCATTTCTCAAGTATTCAATTGCCAATCCGAAGCAAAACTTTGTTCTTTTCAAGCCCTTCATTTCAAATTCTTTCTTTAAGCAATCCATAGCTTTTGTAAGCTCTTCAAGAGTTCCAATAATATTTATATCATCAGCATAAACAATTATAGCAAACTCACTTTCAGATCTTTTCATAAAAATACATGGGCAAATTGGATCATTTTTATATCATTTCTTCAACCGATATTTACTTAGTCGGTTATACCACA